AGCTGTAGTTAGCAGCTGTCTAAGGCCACGTGTAAACAGCAATTTTCAGAACTGGCATGTGTGCTGGGACTTTTGTAGCGCCAAGGAGTGTGTGGAGAGCTTTGGTGTTTAGTTAAATTATGGGTCTAGATGCAAAACTTCACAGCAGGGCTTTGAGAGCCTGACCATGCCCTGCTTCCCCATGTGCACACAAGCTGGAGATCACACACACACACACACACACACACACACCTACCTCCCTATACACCACTTCCCAGAGGAACACCCTAAGCCATAAAGGGAGAGACAACTTGGAGTCCTTATAACCCTGGGGCCTCAGGGCTCTTGGATAGGTCCCTTGCATCCTCGGTAGTGTAACCCACTCCAGTCTGAAGCTTTGCTACAGTCCTCCACCGAAACCCCCAACCGAGGGAAGTCAAGATTAATCAGCTGGAAGTTTTTGAACTGAGCTCTCGGTGGCTTTTCCATCTCTGAACTGTGGAAGCCAAGGGTGGCCTTGATCATTTTGGTGTGTGGTGGGGTCTGCTGGTGTGAAGTCTGCAGGAAAGTGACACCAGTGGTTCATGCACCCGGTGGAAAGTATTTTTCATAACTCAGATGATCATAGAGCTGGAGGCCAGCGCATTCTTTTTCCTAGTCACCGTTTCCAAGGTCAGGAGAAGGTTGAAGTTTGGAGTGCTACTGGATAGTGTTGAGGAAATAGAAACCAGGACTCCAGATGGACTAGAGTTATCTTGAACATAGACCGGCATGCTTTATTACACATGAGCACACATGTGCACACTTAACTAATACACGGAAACCTTTCATGGCGTTTACATGACTGTTTACGTGACTGCTGTTTAGTTCCACCGAGAGCCTGAGCACAGCATCCCAGCCTCCCTGCCTCCTGCCCTCCTTAATAGCCATGGAGATGGAAGGGAGAGAGGGAAGAATGTGTGATTGCAGGTCCTCTGCCTCCTGCATCCTTTGACAGAATGCAAATCACAGAGCAGTCTACAGTCCATTTGGTGATAATGGTGTCAAGATTCCCAAGTAGATCACCCTGTTGCCCATCCACCAACCCCAGAGGCCCTGATGGGAGAGGTTCAGGATGCACAGTCCACTGCCCCCTGGCTGTGCTCCCGTCTCCTAAAGCAGCTAACCAAGCTAACATTTCCCCTCTAGATTTTTCATGTCTGGCAGGTTCTGATGAAACCAGTTTCTTTTTAGTGTTTGCCGAGGAGTGAGAGCCATCACTCTATTTGAGCCAGATCCTAGAAAGGATGTTTTAGTAACTCCGATGTTTTGGTGCATTGTCTGGTGCCTGGATTTTCTCATCCTTCCAAAAAGGGAAGGATTTTTAAAGGCTTTTGGGGGGAGATGGTGTAGATTTATAGCTGACTGCCTGTCTCCCTGCCTGCCTGGCTGTGTCTTGGCATGCTCACAGCTGCCAGGCAACAGTGGAGGGGGTATGAAGAGATCTTTTCATTTAGCCAGTTGCCGAGCTTCAGGAGTTTAGATGAAGACAGGGTTGTCGTTTTTCTTCTCTGGGTTCCTAAGAATGTTTGGAATCTAGGTGGGGCCTCAGCTCTGTGTGGCCCATCTCTAAGCAATGAGGTGACAGGGTTTCTTCCATGGAAGGTCCCATCAGAGGTGCTTTGAGGCCTCCACTAGGATACATCTGAGGTCATGATTATATTTTTTTACAAATATTTAATTACTTGGTTGGAGCTTAAAGTGGGGGGTCACAATTAAAGCATAGGATTATTACACAGAAATGAAAAAAAAGTGCTTTTGAAATTACTGATGTTTGGGATGAGGTGATAGGAGTTGATTTGTTTTAAAGTTATTATTTTTTTTTGTTTTGTTTTGTTTTTGTTTTTTTGAGACAGGGTTTTTCTGTGTAGCTTTGGAGCCTATCCTGGCACTCACTCTGGAGACCAGGCTGGCCTCGAACTCACAGAGATCCGCCTGCCTCTGCCTCCCAAGTGCTGGGATTAAAGGCGTGCGCCACCAACGCCCGGCTTAAAGCTATTTGTATAAAATGTTTTTCCGCTGTACATTTATGTGTAAAGGATGAATTTAATAATTGACTCTGGGTTCAGTTGTAGCAGCCGCTTAGCTGTCACCTTCATTGTGCCCTGCTAGACTTTTTGGCATATGGTATTTAACTTAGGCCTCGTGGGAGCTTGTGTGCTAAGCTAATTGTTATATATCCATTTTATAGGGGATTGAATCTGCATTCTTTTAGAGTGTATGCTCCCGTGCCCAGCTCTTGAGGGGTCTGTTGAGTGAATACACTGGGGAAGTTAGGCTCATAGAACTGGACCATTAGTAAGTCTAGGAAGAGATTGAAATCCGAAGGCAGCTCAGATCAGTTAGCTTTGCTCATCGCTATGACTGAATGCAACTTGAGGGAGCAGGGATTTATTTTGTCTTGAGGTTTCAGTTCATTTTAGTGGTGGGAACAACTTATAGCGTAGAGACCTGGAAACAGTGTGGGGAGAGTGAATGAGTATGAAAATGAACGAAATGTGAAATGTGCCTGGGTTCGTTGCATTTGTCCTTTTCCTGCTTTTATTTCACTGGGCCTCTGGCCTTTGGCATAGTGCTGCCTGCATCCAGGGCAGGTCTTTCCCCCTTAGTTGCTGTTTAGTACCTACCTGTCAGTCGGGGCTAGAAACGCTCTCACAGACACACTCAGAGGTGTGCTCTACTGAGATCTTCAACTATCTCAAACCGCTCTCGTTCCCAGTCAAGATTAACCATGACAGGGCCTAGATAGACTTTGACCATCAAGGAGCTCTTCTTGGTCTATCAGGATGATCTTAGAAACAGGTAAGGAGAGAAGTTAATGTCAGGAGCAAGAAGAGGTTGCAGCCACCTCATCGAGAGAGCCTGGGAGGTGGGCACTGCAGTTTGTATCCCCGAAGGGCCCTTTTCTAGAATGTCCTCACATGTGTTGTCATCTCACCCTTAGCCTTAGTCATCGGGGAAGAGAAAACCAGTAGACTCCTAGTGTTCCCATGCAACAGGAGGAAGTAGCCGGCAGGACTCATAGTGTCCTTTTGAAACAGTGCAGAAAAGGCCTTCCTGCGCTCTGGTTTGGGATCAGCCATAGGCCATGCGCCTTATGTGCCCACCAAGAGCTGCCTTCTAAAGCCTAAGCGTCCTGAAATCTGGATGCCTCTTTCTGATTCAGCCAACCCAGTCTTGGACTCATGAGGGTTGAGGGGATGGATGGCAACTGGGGTTCTTTGTGGAGCTGGTATAGCACCTTGTGGAGTAGAGGAGAGAATTCAAATCCAAGAGATTGAGTCCCATCTAGAGTTACAAGTGCAGTGAGATACTGGTGCTGGATTTCTATTGTCTTTCCTATTCCAACATGTCAGCCGTGTGCCCTGGATGTGTGGCATGACAACTGGATGATTTGTTGTGGGTGTGTTGGCTCATTCATTCACTTATCAAATATTTTAATAGTCTTAGTGTGATGGCTATCCAGGAAGGTGTGATACCTGTCCTGTGTCCTGCATCCAACAGTAATAACATAGATGACATTTATTTTATAGTTTTAAGTCAAAATGATGAGTCTTGGTGCCCAATGGATTTTCCTACTTTTTATTAGATTTTTTTTCAATTATTTTACTTGCTTTCTTTTTGTTTTTTGTTTTGTTTTCTTTTGAGATAGGATCCTGGCAGTTTCAAATTCTGCCCTCCTTCAGCCTCTTTTCCTTTGGGGCTGGTCGGATTCTAGAATATGGGCAATATGTGTTCATTTTTTGCACTCATTGGCTTTCAGTGTTGCCTTCTATTTGCCTAGTTCTGTTGTTGATGTTGTAGAGGTCCTGTAGGCTCAGAGACTGGACATTTGAAGGAGTAGGCAGTTAATGTGAATTGGGGACTGAGAGAGAGAGAGAGAGAGAGAGAGAGAGAGAGAGAGAGAGAGAGAGAGAGAGAGAGAGAGAGAGCGCGAGCGCTGTGTATGGATGCAGTGTCAGGTGACTTCAGAGGAGGTGAGACTAGTGTCAGGCTGGCCAGGATAGCACATGGATTTTTTTTTTTTTTTTTTTTTTTTTTTGGAGTTAGAAGGTCATGGAAAATTGGAAGATGGTTGCAATTTGCCATGGGAAGATCTGGGAGTGGAGAGGCATTCCAGGGAGAAAGACCTGTGAGAATAGAGGTGTGGAAACCTAGGGATTAGTGGGGATGGCATAGGGTTGAGCAAGGTGAGCTGCAGGGAGGGCTTTAAAGGCGTGTCAGGTCAGAGCTTGCAGGGTGGTCCCTGAGTGCGAGGTCAGCACCTATCTTATCTACAGGCAGAGGGCAGCCTGAGACGAGCTGAGCATAGAAAGTACACACCTCCTTTGAATTGTGTCTACAATTTTTTTCTTTAAAGTACGGGGGATTGAGCCAAGGCCTTGAGCATTTGAAGCAAGAGCTATCCCTAGTCCTTATGTATTCAATTAAAAACCAGTTTATTAGTTCCTTGAGAACTCTGTGCAACAGGCTTTGATCATGTTCATATCCCCTCCACAACTCCTGCCAACTCCACCCGCTTTCCCTACCCATCCAACTTTTTTTTTTTAAATAAACCCCATCAAGAGCACTTTGTGCTGCCTACATTTTCTTGGGAGTGTGGTTGTAATTGACAAGGTTTGGCTACTATCTGAGCATCGTCTTTTTGCATCTTTTTGTTTGTGTCTCCTCTATTTTAAAACAGCCTGCTGTGGGATTTTTCTCAATATGCTAATGAAGTCATGTTTTGTGGCCACAGAGGTCCTGGGGGCTCCTCTCCTGTCAAGAAGTTCCAGTCTACTCTGGTAGCCTGAACGCCTAAGATAATGCAGCATAGCTGTCTCCAGCATCCTTAACTATATAATGGTCTGGTCTGTAAGGCTGAGACAGGTTCCAGACTGCTTTCCTGGAAGAACATGGAGCAAGGCTTGTTGAAGTGTCTTACCAAACACTGCTTCTGATAACCTGGTTAACCTGTGCCCTCCTCTTGTCATCTCTTGCAGATGGTCACAAGAACAAAGAAAATATTTGTAGGAGGGTTATCTGCGAACACTGTAGTGGAAGATGTAAAGCAGTATTTTGAGCAGTTTGGCAAGGTAAGTGCTGCCCATGGGCGGACAGTAGTGGCCCACAGGTGTGGGTGGATCCTCAGATGTGGCTACCTGAGCTGATGCTATGTACGGTCCAGAATTGGGTCCTTGAACTTCCCTGTCAGGATTTACATGAAACTCCAGAGCTGCATTGAAGAGTCAGGACTTTGGTTGGCATGGGGCCTTGTGCGCCTGCAGGAGCACACAGAGTGGCCTTTCAGTACTGTTTTGCTGTCATTTGCCAGCCACATGGGGCCAGGACTGGGGAAGGATGTGGGGTTGTGACTCACAGGGCACAGGTGCCCACAGAAGCTGAGAGAGGCAAAACCCTGTGAACCCGCTGGGATTCCTTATTCCTTGTACTTCTGGAAGATGGCATTCAGAAACGAGGGTGCTGGGCCCTTGGCAGCAGAACATTCCCCTGTTAAGTGCCCAAAGAGACTTGAGAAAGATGTTGGCTACATCAATCATCATTTTGACCAAAGTGCCAATGAGACAGAAGCAAAATGATGCCCTGAGGTATGCTGTTAGGACTAGGTATCCTCATTCAGGAATGGGGGAAAGAAGGTGTGTGGGGGTTAGAGAGACGTGTGGGACGGACATGTAGGTGATGTCTTTGTCAGTTGCTTTCAAGCTGGTGAAAGAGGCAGAAGCATATGAGTGGGTTCTTCTCAGATGTCATGCTGCCCCGTCTTTGCCTTTATGTGGTCCCCTTTCTCTAGCTCCCACAGAAGCCATAGGTCTAAGGAGCTTGGCAGGTGAATGGCTGAGCTGGCCCTCCACTTCCTGCATCTTTTGAGTAATTGTGGGTATTGTCATGGGAACCCAAGCTTGGGGCCAGCTCCCTCCATCATAGTGTTTTCCCTGCTGACAGGCTAATGTGGCAGAGCTCTGTGGTATCCTGGAAAGATGCAATGCCCACTCAAAGCTTTTATCATTCATTTACTCCCACGATGGCTGTCCTATTTGCCAAAGACCTGGACGAGGGCACTGCCACCCACTAGTTGGCCTGAAAGTTCTGTGCTTTGCTTGCTTACCCAGGGCAGCAGACAGCCATGACTCAATCACCATTTGTGGCCCTCCATGAGCCACTGCGTGAGATGAGGGCCATGACCTTTATTTAGCTTTGAATTGAAGATTCCCCCCTTTGTATTAGTCAGTTTCTGCATGGATGGGAGACCATACAACAAAGAGAAAACAGCATCTTCAGTTCAGCTATACATTTGAAATGGCATGGAATTGCCCACCTCGGTGGATTTTGACAAAGGCTGTCTTCCTCATAGTCCTCCTGAACATCTCATCTGGGGGCTGACTCATTCTGGGTGGCTCATTGGGGAAGCTAAGTGTGCTGATGGCCACTGAAGTTACAGGGCTTCTCTTTCCAAGAGTGATTTATGGCACTAGAGGGAAGTATCCATCACTGGCCCCTCCCTGCCTAGGGAGAAGGATTGGAAGTAATTAAATGAGACAAGTCCTTCTTGCACCATACTCTGGAGGGTGGGCCCTCTTCTGCCTTCAAATTGAGTCCAGGGTAGTGTTTGCAAACAAGAGGTGGGATTTCTTTTTCGAGCCATAACCTGCCTTGGAATCTCATAGGCCCATTTGCAGGTGTCAGGGAGGCTGTGGCTGCCTGGATGAGCTGTTGCAGTATTCCAGACAGGCTTACACTTGCAGCAGACAGCACATCTCTGCACACCCCCAGCCTCGCTTTTTCCCCCTCTCAGATCTCTCCCTCGTCCTTCCTGTCTTCCCTTTTGTTGTTTCTCATGAGCACTTACAGTCGTGACTCAGTGTCAGCAGTGGGCCGCCCGGCAAGCTTTGGCCTTGCCCACAGCCGCTTCCAACACCGCCTTGAGAACAGTTGTCCCTTTGTCTCGGCCGCAGTCACAGACCATCTTCCCTAACATGGCACTTGCTGGGTCGGATGCTGCTCAGTTAATTGTGCAGCCGTATTTGTGGATTCTGACAGGCTGCATAAACTTATGGAGTGTTTTACTAAAGGACTAAGGAGGCTTTTGAATGCACCAAAACCTGTAACACACTCTACTCATGAGCTAGCAGCTCCTTTCATGCATAGGCACTGAGTGTTATCTGGGCTTGCCTTCCGAAGAGCTTATTTGTCGTTTGCCGGAGTCTAGTGTTCTGCCTATGGCCCCTTGGGCAGGATTCAACGCCTCTCTGGATTCTGATCGTTCATTTGAATCCAGAATGATCAAAGTAGAGTCTCCTGGTAGGCCTTGGGGGCCAGGAGTAAAAACCAGCCTTGGCAAAAAGAGGTAGTGGGTAAATTGACACACGGACTTTACCCTTTGTTAAAGTATATCTCCCCCCCCTCTCTCCTCTCTCTCTCTCTCTCTCTCTCTCTCTCTCTCTCGCTCTCTCTCTCTCTCTCTCTCTCTCTCTCGCTCTCTCTCTCTCTCTCTCTCTCTCTCTCTCTCTCTCTCTCTGTGTGTGTGTGTGTGTGTGTGTGTGTGTGTGCGCACATGCCTGAGGGAGGTTGTTTGGGGCTGTCTTGAAGCAAATTAGCAAGGTATAAATTCACTACCTCAAAGGAGTACTACCGACTGTCACATGCCAGGTCAAGCCGTTCCTTACATTGTCTTGTTTAATTTTTCTCTGGGAGATGGTGGTGTTGCTGTGTTTCATATAAATGGCATTTTAGTGCTGGCAGGAAGGAAGGCTTGGTGTCTCTTCGATATGCACAGGGGGGTGCTCCAGACTTGGGCATCTGCACCGAGAAGATCGGTGTTCTGTGGCCTCCTTGATTGGGAAGATAGTAGAGACCAGAGGGGTTTTAACTTTGAACCAGAACGCATATCCTGCTTCTTCTCCGCTTCCACGCCTGAACTTCCATCTCACTACAGCCTCCATGCAGGGTGTACCACGTTCTGTGTTTCACTCACCATCATTTACTGTCTTTTCCCCTTTTCCATCTTGCCTGAGGTGGCAGCTGCTCCAACTGTTTATTTCAGGTGGCAGTCAACATAGACACAACTGCTACCAAGGGGCTGGGCTGAGGGTAGTTTAAATATGTCTTTGCTGTAAGTGGAGTGGATACCAAATGACACACACACACACACACACACACACACATATACACACACACACA